TGATTGGTTGTCTTCTGCATGTGTCATGACCTGGAATCGAACCGAAAACCTTTCAGAGCACAGGATGAGGCTCAGCCAACTAAGCCACTCCAGCTGGGCAAAAGAGAGTTATACTTTAAAAATAGATGTATTTTTAAAATTCACCACTCTAAGACAATTTCCTTTCAAAATTTAACACTTGGTTTAAAAACACTAGAAAAGACAATGGAATTTTTCTATTAGTGAGGTTGAGTCTAAAATAAAATGACCACTATCTTAGGAACTTTGACACTTTAAAGGCACAGCAAAAAGAGATAGCATAGTGCTTGGTCCTACAAGGCAAGAGGATATTAAAAAAAGAAAAGTCAGCAATGTGAATTGAAGTATAGGGCCATATAATTAAAGTAGGATCTTGTTAAAAGTTTTAGTGGAACTTCAGTGCTAAGAATTCCTGAAGTCTGATTATCAATGCATCTTATTTGGAAAGTTGTCCTTTTATAGCTAAGAATCCCTGAAACAGAGTTCTCAAGTGACTAGCTATGTCAGAATGACCTGGGGATACCTCAAAAACTAAAACTAGCATTCTAGGCACAGTAATAAAGTTTATTAAATTACTTAAAGGAGGGGGTAACCAACAAGGCTTTGGTGAAGGAGTTCCCAAGAAGAGAGGGGTGTGTGTGGAAGGATTCATTCCAGGCAAAGAGCATGTGGAGAGGCAACATGGAGGATGAGGAACAGTGTATGTTATAAATAATGTTCCACTGAACATTTCATGCATAAAATGTTTCTTGTGTTAAAGATGATTTTCTTAGGAAGAGTTCTCTGGAGTTTAGTAACTAAGACAAAAGGTTGGTCTTAAACCTCACACTTAGTAAATATTGCTGAGCTTCCTTAAAGGACTACATTAAGTTGCTATCCAACTAGCAAATAAGACCACTATTTTATTCTACCCTTCATTCCAGCACTGCACTCATTTACAAAACTCTGTCAATTCAATGTTTCAAAATAATAAATTTGTAATTATTTTAGTGTATTGAGTTTCTTTGCCTATGCTTTTAATTAACTGTATTTATGCTTAAGCAACTTTCATAAATGGCCTTTATTTTTAATAAGCTATGTTTAACTTTTTTTTAAATGATGTTTAACAATTTTTTTAACTTCATAGTGACAGTGATTTGAAGGTTTTTGGTGCTTTCATAAAAGGTTTACATTTTCATATAACTAAATGTTTAATTTCTTTGTGATCCTTTAATTTCAGAAATGCTTCCTTCCAGAGTTAATACCCAACTTTAAAAAAATACCTTTTCAATGGTTGTAATTAAAAAAATAATTTAATTCAATTTACAGAAGATGTTTTTTATATATAATGAAAATGTAAATTCTTTTTTTCACAAAATGATTACTAACTCTCTAATAAGAGTGCTTACTAAGTAATTGTTTCCCTTCTCACTGATTTGTGACACTTTATTTACCATATATACAAATCTTACATACTTTCGAGAAGACCTAGAAAAGAGTAATTATATTTCAATGTCTATTCTTGCATCAATATGTTTTGGTGTCTGGTAGATTAATTTTCCTTCATTATCTTTTAGTTCAAAATTCAAACTGATTTTCCACCTGTCATTTTTTTCCAAACCTTTAAAACACCTACACCATCATTCATTCCACTAGATTTTTACTGACTGACATAAGACCTATAATTTGTCAAGAATATGCTTTTTTATTTTAATTTTTAAATTTTTTTAATTTTTAAAAAATATATCTTTATTGATTTCAGAGAGAGGAATTGAGAAGGAGGGAGAGAGACAGAAACATCAATGATGAGAGAGTCATTGATCGGCTGCAGCCCGCAACCTGGGCATGTGCCCTGGCCGGGAATCGAACCCTGATCGCCTGGATCCTAGGTCAATGCTCAACCACTGAGCCATGCCCGGCTGGGCTATTTTAATTTTTTTAAATAATACTAGTTTCTCATCAAAGTAGTTTCCCACAGCTCTTAAAAGTTTTGTTATTTCCTCTTCTAGGTTTCTGTATTTCTCATTAACATTATACCAAATATCCCTATTTCTGTGGCTCTTCTTTCATTGTGCTTACTAACCCGTAACTGCCAGAATATTGCTATTGCATTGACTCTAGTCATCTTTTATTTCAACACCTAGAGAACACCTATAATTTTTTGTTGTTGTTGTTGTTAATCCTCACCCGAGGATATTTTTTCCATTGCTTTCGAGAAGGGGGGCAGGGAGAGAGAGAAACATCGATGTAAGAAGGACACATCCATTAGTTGCCTCCCGACGGGGTGGGGAGTGAACTCGAAACCCTTTGGTGCATGCCGACACTCTAAACCACTGAGCACATGGGCCAGGGCAAGAATGCCTATAATTTTAAAAAGTTTTTAATGGACTCGAATTAACTGAAGTAACAGATTTCATACTGGATAGAAAGGTAAGGGGAAAGGCTCCATTCCTATTCATTAGTTCTGTTGGTTCTAATTCTTATTAGGTAACATTTTTTAAAAAAGCAAAACAAAGGAAATGCTTTTATGTATACAAAGTCACAGGGAGTGGGTTTTGTTCACTTGCCTCAAAAAGCACATTGAGAATATAAACTTTTTGTTTTTAATTTTAAACATCTCTTTAGGGAAGCAGTAAGGTCAGTTTTGAAAAGGTGCTAGCAGCTTTCAATTAAAAAAACTACCATCACCCTCCCCCCACAAAGAACAAGAGAAATTTAAAATTATGGAGAGTACATAAAGCTACGATCAGCAGAACCTCATACTTTTTGAAGAATAACTACTATAATAGGAAGCACTTTCTTTAATTTAATGGGTCAGCTCTAACAATGTGGTGCCCCCTCCCAGAGAGCAGCACCAGAACTGAAGGAGTATACAGGAATCAAAATTTCTATTTCAAACAGCAGGTTTCCCAATCACTAGCTCTAATTTGATCTAAAGATTATGAAGGACTTCTTTTTTGTAATAAAATGGTAGTTTCAAAATATTAAAGCAATTTTATGATGGTTATGATTTTATGTGCCCCATTAAGAAGCTAGTCTAACTTACCCATAAAATATCCTAAAGTATTTTAAAGAACTTTCTCTATATTATAAAAATCCAACATCAGTTATATTTCCTTTTTTTTCTCAAGCAAATAGATATATAACCTTTCAAACCAAAAATGCTAAAAAGTTATTATTCTAAAATAAAACTGCTTACCATGATACCACCATTTTGTTTTCTTTGGATTCTTGTTACATGTTCGAACATAAAAAGAATTATCTGGTGGTCGTCTCTGAAACCAAAAAAGAGTTTAAATAGATAAGAAGTTGTAAAACAGAAAAACATAAGGGAAAGATAGTTTTAACAAAAACTTTTGCAAAATTATTACAAAATGCATTCAAAAACAATATAACTGCTGATGGCATTAACTGAAAGAAATCCTAGGGAATACAGGTTCCTGACGCTGAAACTGCTTTTAAAAATCTAGGGGTGTGTGGTGTAGTTTGGGGTAGGTACCAGTGGGGTAGGATCCAGTAATCACTAGAGAATGACAATCAACCAAAAGTGGCAGCATTAGGTTGTAAAAAATTTTGGTTTCATTTATCTTATCTCCCTAGAAATAATTTAATAATTACTTTTATGAGCTAATTAAAACAAAAAAGTCTACCTAATTAGATTTGTCTGAGGAACTAATGCAACTTCTACGCCTCCACAAAGGATTACTGCTTTTCTGTAAGATCACCAAGGACAGACCAAAGTATTCAGTTTCCAAATAAGAAGAAAAAGGGGAAAAGATATATTGGCATTTCTGCTGTACATATGCCCTGACTAGCACCATATTCCAAACATATGGCAGCTCTGTAAGGGAGCTACATCAGAAACAGTGATGCCAAAAATGAAGATAGGTTATAGAAGAGAATTATCCTGAAAACTGTTATATATTGATTAGACACAAGAAATATGTGACACTAATGATTTGGAAACATGTCAAATCTGTACTAAGTCACTGAGGGCAGGTTTGTAGATAATAGGATAGGTTCAACCAAAAAGCAATGGAGAGCAGGATTACCTAGATAGCAGGAAAGAAAACTCACCTCTAAAACTCACATACATGACTCTGATCTTAGCTGAGCCTCATAATGCCTCTATGAGTTAATATTATTTAACAAAAGGGAAGAGTAGAACATAAGACGTCCCCAACAACTATCCCAAGATTACCCTGTTAAGGAAATCCCTGAAAAATTAATATTAGGAAATTAGACGCCTGACTATTTCAAAGAATAGACGGTCTGCTGTTGCTTGGCCTGCAAAGTCATAACCAGTGTTCATGTGGAATAAATTGCTACTACTATGGCAAATAATTTCATAAACTACTTTTATGTGTATATTAATTAGAACCCAATTAAAAAAACATTTAAGAAAGAAAATAAGCCACTCATTCTATTTGCTTAAGTCAAGAATACAACCAAACTGATAAGTGATCAAGGAGATTGGGTTCTTAGAAAAAATAAACTATATAAAAAGACAGATTACCAAAATTGTTTAGAAATGGAGTATAGGCTGGGAAGTTCGGACTATCTATATTATAAGGGGACTGAAAATAAAGGGTAGGTTACTGAAAAACCCCTGGTCTCAATATCAGAAATTGTCTTCAATCTTTTCAAACCTACTGAAATAATAGATTAAATGCCTTCAGCTTAGGAAACCTCCTTGACTATGAAAAGGGAAACTGAAACAAAAGAATTATAACTGAATCAAAGTTCTCAAATGCCTATAGTAAAAATGAAAATTTGTATTCAGTGAGTCGACTAGTAAAGTGAAACTCACACAACCATGTCCACCACAAAATAAAATTCACCTGTTTTACTAGAAGAGTTTTCGGTAAGTATTTAAAAGACTTTGTAAAGCTTATTTGAAGCTAGATCCCCTCAATGTCAAAGTAAGTTTCCTCTTTGTCTTTGTAACCTACTCCTTAGCACAGTAAAAATAGCATATAGTAGGTACCTAATAAACGTTTGCTGAATTTCTTATTTCACAGAACTAATGCTGCCAGAATTCTGACTTCCAGATCATCCTCACTGAATGTATTAGTTTATATTATGTAATATAGTTTACCAATAATTTAAATGGAATGATTAGTCTTATATACTAAGTATGCAAGAAATAGTAGCAAACCACTAGAATGTGAGGGTCATGGTGAGGCTTAGAAAAAGATGAAGAAGGTAGAGAATAGTCATTTTCTAGTTTTTAATAATAAATAATTATATTTAAATGTTAACAAAAGTTAATAATCATCAAGCATGAGAAGCTATGTGTGCAGAGATCACTGGTATTCATCTCTTAACTTTTCTTATTCAATCCTATGTTACTGCCTCACCTTTCTATAGACATTAAACATGAGCAGGGACATAGAAGCCCTTGTCGTCACAAACTGCTCTGCTCTACACTTAAAGCTTAAAACTGGTATGTGTGCTGTGGGTGGAGTTGGGGGAGGAGAAAATATGAAAGTAATAAATGAGAAAGATTTGTTTCCAAAGCCCTCGGGGTTAACAAAAGCTCAAGTGTAGCCTTAAAATGCAGCTTAGAAAAGCCAACAGCAAAGAGGAAACTAAAGTTAAAAAGTGATACTAACATTAAATAATATGTACCCTATTTCACCTCTTCTAAAATGTACATTTTTCCTGCACATTTAATATTCCTGAATGGAGATGCATGTCTTAACTAATAGTGTGTCACAAGTTTAACTGCCCAAGTTAATTTCCTTTCTTATATGGTATATAAAATTGCATATTAAGGGCTCTTAATGCTATAATTTGAAAAAACACAACCCATTATTTCCCATGCCTAGTTGAACAAACTCCTCCTTTTTTCTTTTTAAACCTAACATCAAGAAATTTGTTATGGAGATAACATCCCAAGAAACTTACTTTGCAAATAGTGACTTAAAGTGTTTGAGTCTAGATAACGTACCGTTTAAAAATAAAGTACTGTTTAATAAAAATGATAGTTCAATTTAGAGAACAGGAAAATAACCTCTCAGCTCTCTAATCTCAAAGGTAAGTTTGTTTCTTCTGTAAACAGAATACAAAGGAAACTCCCATGGGTAAGAGTAAGGCTTTAAAACCATAGAACTCCAGGAACATTGAGCTGCACTAACCCTCAAGCAGGAGTGACAAGAGGACCAGAAATGCAGAGGATTTAGGGACTTTAAAAAGATATCCTAAATTTAACTCATGTGACTTTTCTTTTTGGTCTTTTCTCCTCTGCATCAGACAAAGAATCTGTAGATTTGTAAAGGAGAGTAAGAGGAAAAGTCCTAAAAATTCTACTGGTAATCTAGTCTTCCTTCTGCAACCTAATCATTATGATAACAAAGCTCTGGTTCCTGCGAAATGCCCTAAAGAAGAACTGACAGGGTAAGAGCCAGCAGAGGGGAGAGGGGAGCTCCCTATGAAGCTTGTTCCTGGGGCTTTCCACTGTAAAATCTAGAAGCAAGAATTTGTTATACACTTTTGTGCATGTTTATGAAAATAAAATTCAGATTGTTTAGAACATCTGCAGTTATTTCCTGTTTAAGAAATATAAAACAATGTTTGACTTCTATTTGGAATGAAAGATTATCAAAATAACTTCCCAATCTATTATTAAACATGACATTCCCTATAACTTTATAATAAAAAGCATTAAGACCTTCCTTCAAATAAAATGTGTACCAAAATAGTTTCTCTACCTAAACTGAAAGAAGAGATATTACCTGGAATAATTCTGAAAAGTCCTACCTTTTCTTTGCAGCTGGAAAGCATGCTAATAATGCTAAGACAAACTGATTGGACTGAGAGCGCTGGGGACCAGTCTTCTGTTAGAATGGATAAACAGATATGACCATTGCTATAAACATGAGGATGAACGGGAATATTTTCACCAGTAAACATGACCTAAGAAAGAATAAAATTCCATTAACACTCAAATATTCTGTATTACCAAAAAAAATTTAAAATATTCTCCACATAACTTAGTATTTTTAAAACCAAATAAAAAACAAACAAAATCAGTGCCAGGAACAGGATAAACAACTGCTTGTTTCTCCCATCAATTCAGTAAATGCTGGGTTCAACTGTATGAATGCCTATGTCAAAGAGACAAAAAAACCCCGTTATCTATTTTATATTTTTTTACAAAACCCCTATAAAAATGTCCAAATTACCATGTATTTTTAAACTCATGAAAGACAACTCGCCATTTATAAGAATGGCTTTTCAAATTCTATTCATTGATCTCCGCATATAGACATCAATACAATAAAATTTCAAGCAGAAAGTATTCAATTGTGAGACAATGAGTTACAGTTGGGAAGAACACCCCTTCCACCAGTAACAATGCTATCACCTCAGGTGCTATATGCAAAAGGAAATGACTGCTATATATTCCACCTCCTCTAAGCTCACACATCCATTATGATGGGCACAAATTACTACTTATTAATCAGCAAATAACTAGGTGCCTAGACCCCCCAAAAAGGGGGGGAGGGGTTGAACGAGTCTCCCAATTACTTGCTCTTTCTTTGCCTTTTCTTTTACTCAATTCTTATAATAGTTTTTTCTTTCTCCATCTTGCTTCACCACTGTTTTGAAAGGTAATCAATCTATTATTTCCTTCCTTTGCCCTAAAAACTCAACAAATACCCTAACAGTAGTTTCTTATACCTAAGCATCTTAATAGGCAGGAGAGTATGTCCATATATACTGAGGAATCTGTAAACATAGTGCAAAGTAGGTCAAAGAAAGTAGAAGTCTTATATTTAAGAATGCTTATATGTTACTTCATAATAAATTATTAATTTTGATATAAAAATTAATTCACCAGTCTTTAACTGAATTTTATACTGCAATAAGATGCACCATTTTTATTCTGTTTAGTATTTATTTCTAATTCCTGACCTGGCCTTTAAAAAAATTACCTGAAGATCTGGCTAAAAATACAAATTTAAGGACCCCATTTTTACAGATTCTGAATCAGTAGATATAGTGGGATTTTTATAAAGCTCATCAAATATAAACCAGTAGTTCCCAAACAAGACTTTCAGTATCTTTCTCAGTACTGCAAACTGCTTCACACCTGAATATAGCAGAATCTTAGTAGGGAAAAACTTTACCTTAATTTACGACAGAAACTGATGAAACATACAGGGTGGGGCAAAAGTAGGCTTACAGTTGTAAATAAGCGAAAGACAGATTATTCTTATATTATTATTTATTAATTATTGTATTATTTTTCCTTACAAACAACTATAAACCACTTTTGCCTTACACTGTATATTGCTCTAGGCATACCTTTCCCCCACTTAAAGAAAAAGAGAGAGCCAGTGAAGTAGCTGTGGTCAGAGTAAGGTATGCCATAGTTTAATATAGGACACATTGTGGAAAATTACCATAAGCTAGGATTTTGCTTTTATTTTTAAACAGCTAGCTACAAAACTAATTTTATTACAATCTTACAAATATTTACATTTTAACAAAGCACTCTTTCATACAAGTAGGAGTTCTCTACTATTTCAAATACACTACTAACATATGGGACTCATTTCCTTGGCTGAAGCTAATATAAGACAGAAAAAGGATTTTTCTTCTCAAAGGAATGCCCTTACAAACACTTTTTTTCTCTCTCTTTAAATTCTGGCCATTCACCCTCCATTCACACTGAAGAGAACTAAAATAAAGCTGAAAAATAAAAGTAAAATCTCAAAATAAGAGACATCAAGTTACTTTTCCTGCCAAGTGCAGAAACCCCTCTGAAAGACTTGGGCACAGCTGTGTTAGAAGTATGCCATTTATCTCATTCTATCTACCAGTGCTAATGCCTTTTTAAATCACTTTTTGCTAAAAGAAAGTGCTGCTCTGCAAAAGGAAATGACTGGTTACATGGTCTTGCAATTCCACACTTTGTGTTTATCCACAATTAATTTTTAAAATTATATTTTTTATCAATATGAACTGTAGTCTATTATGACATGCATTTGATATTCCCACAACATTGTAGATGTTCACAGTGGGTGTTAACAAACCTCACAGAATGTGCATCTGCTTTGGGTATTCATTTTGCCAGAAAATGCCATGTGACCAACAGGATATATTTATTAAGAATGCAAGCATTGTCCAAGAGCTTATCCCCTGACCACAATTATTTTTTTAAAGGGTATTTCTTTTTCAGTAACATCTTTTTTAATAAGTCAAGTAGAATAGTTCTTTGAAAAGTGCCAAAAACGAAGAATTGCCAAGTTATCTTCTTTGGTGAAAAAAAGAATCAACGTATCAGCAACCATCAAGGAAAATACACAGCCAGACAAACACAAACGTCACCACAGCATGCTCTGATTAGCCAATTCACAGAGCAGAAGGAAAGCAGTATTCTAGGACAGAAATGATGGTAAACCAAATCACTTGGTCTAGGAGCCAAGAAGTATGCGCCTATCAAAAGGGAATGAGAAGAGAAAGGAAAGGGGCAAGTAGCAGTAGACACCTGAAGCAGAAGCAGCAGTCTGAAAGCAGAGAAGACCCAGAAATCAACAGAGTAGCTCTGAAGTATGAGTGGACTGAAATAAAAAATCAGATCTCAGCAACCCTTAAAAAAAAAAAAAAAAA